TGCGGTGGACGGGGGAGGTTGGCGATGCGTCGGTGTTCCGGGTCTTGGGTTCTCGTGCCTTTGTTTGCGATACCACCGCGGACAAGCTCTCCGCCCGCGCTGTTCCCTGTGTCTTCCTTGGCTTTGTCCCTGACGCGCCTGGTTGGCAGTTTTACCACCCCACCTCGCGCCGTCTCTTCCCCTACCGCACTGCTCCTCTCCCCCCCCCCGCCGCTCTTCCTCTCCCCCTCCCCGCTCCCGGTCCTGCTCCTTCAGGTGTGTCTCAGGTAGACCCTCCTCCCTTGACTGCGCCGGTTGAGGTCACTGGTGACTCAAGTCCTGCTGAGGGTGGTCCTGCTCGGGGTGCTGCTTCCGGGGGTGCTGAGCCTGGGGGTGCGGAGCCTGGGGGTGCTGGTCCTGGGGGTGCGGAGCCTGGAGGTGCTGAGCCTGGGCGTGAGGAGTCTGGGGGTGCTGAGCCTGGGGGTGCTGAGTCTGGGGGTGCTGCACCTGGGGGTGCTGCGGCGTCTGGTGAGCAGTCTCCCTGGAGCGGCCGTCTCCGTAGTCGCTCTGCTGGTGCCTCGTCGCTGCACTCTCGTCGTCGTCTCCCTCTCTCCCCACAGCAACTGCGTGAGTGGTACGTTGGCCGTCAGGGTCGAGCTGCTGGAGCTGGGGGCCCTGCTGCGGGAGGCGCTGGTGTTGGAGGCACTGGAGCCAACACTGTCCCTCTCTCCCCACAGCAGTTGCGTGAGTGGTACGTTAGCCGTCAGGGTCGCGCTGCTGGAGCTAGGGGCCCTGCTGCGGGAGGCTCTGGAGCTGGTGACTCTGCTACTGGAGTTGTTTCTACTGGAGTTCCAAGAGCAGCTGGTCCCGGAGGTGCTCGTACTGGAGGTACTGGAGCTGCTGGGGCTGGAGGTACTGCTGGACCTGGAGGTGCTGCTGCTGACTCTGAGGTTGGAGGCCCTGGAGCTGGGGGTGCCGGTTCTGGGCTACTGCTGGTGGCGCTGGAGCTGGAGGTTCTGGAGCTGCTGCGGGTGCTGGCGCTGGAGGTTCTGAAGCTGTTGGAGGTGCTGGCGCTGGTGGCGCCGGAGCTGGAGGTTCTGGAGCTGCTGCGGGTGCTGGCGCTGGAGGTTCTGGAGCTGTTGGAGGTGCTGGTGCTGGTGGCGCCGGAGCTGGAGGTTTTGCAGCTGCTGCGGGTGCTGGCGCTGGAGGTTCTGGAGCTGTTGGAGGTGCTGGTGCTGGTGGCGCCGGAGCTGGAGGTTCTGGAGCTGCTGCGGGTGCTGGCGCTGGAGGTTCTGGAGCTGCAGGAGGTGCTGGCGCTGGTGGCGCCGGAGCTGGAGGTTCTGGAGCTACAGCGGGTGCTGGCGCTGGAGGTGCTGGAGCTACTGGTGCTAGTGGCGCTGCGCCGCCGTGACTGTTCTTCGCTCCGCCGTCACCTTCGTCTCTGCCACCGCCTGGCTCCGTGCTTCGCCAAGTTCTTAGCCTCCCGTCTTCTACTGGTCTTCCGTTACAGCCTCGCTCACCGCTGCCTGCTCCTTCTCCTTACAGTGAGCTGACAAGCGGTCTTGCTGAGCGTCGTGAGCCTGCGTCTCGTCCTGTCTCGCGTGTTCGCACTGTCCGCACTGGTCGTACTAGTCGTCGTGTTCCTCGTGAGCGTCCGCCGGCTGTCCCCAACACACACCTCATGGCCTTGCGTCCTTCCTCTGCTCTGCAGCGTGTTCCCCTGCCGTCCCCTCCTGCGTCTTCTCTGCCTGACGTTCCAGAGCCTGAGTCTCACCGTGGTCGTGCTGCTCACCCTACTGTTTTGCGTCTGCTAGCCACAGCTGTCACTGACCCGTCGTTTGAGTCTGCTGCTGCGTCTGCCTTAGTCGCTGAGCTTGTTGACTTTGCTGCTGCCTGTCGTCTAGACTATGCCGCTAGTCTTGTTGCTGAGTCTGAGTCTGTCTGTCCTCCGTCCGTCGGGGGTGAGTGTGCTCTTGGCACGGACGTCCTTGAGGACAGGCAGGAGGACCTTGCGTGTCTTGCAGCCGCTGCGCCTCATCTCGTGTCCATACTGCTTGCCCCTGAGGGAGACCGGATGCTCCAGACATCCCGACCCCGCGCTCTTACGCTGAGGCGATCGCGGGTGAGTACTCCTCTCAGTGGCAGACAGCCACGGACGCAGAGATGGCATCCTAGAAGTCCACAGGCACTTACGTCGACGAGGTTCCCCCTCCTGGGGCGAACATCGTCGATGGCATGTGGATTTTCAGGGTGAAGCGGCCGCCAGGTTCTCCGCCTGTCTTCAAGGCTCGTTACGTTGCTCGAGGCTTCAGTCAGCGGGAGGGAGTCGACTTCTTCCAGACCTTCTCCCCCACCCCGAAGATGACCACTCTTCGGGTGCTGCTGCACGTTGCCGCTCAGCGTGACTACGAGCTTCACTCTCTTGACTTCAGCACAGCCTTCTTACAGGGCAGCCTGCACGAGGAGATATGGCTGCACCGCCCACCTGGCTTCACTAGGTCGTTCCCTCCTGGTACCCAGTGGAGCCTCCGGCGGCCAGTCTACGGTCTCCGCCAGGCGCCGCGTGAGTGGCACGACACACTGAGGACGACACTTGCGGCTCTTGGGTTTGCTCCGTCGACTGCTGACCCGTTGCTGGTCCTGCGCACCGACACTTCGCTGCCGCCGTTCTACATCCTCGTGTACGTCGACGACTTGGTCTTTGCCACTGCTGACACTGAGGCTCTCGCCCTGGTGAAGTCGGAGCTGCAGAAGAGACATACGTGCACAGACCTGGGTGAGCTGCGCAGTTACCTTGGCTTGCAGATCACCCGGGACAGAGCACGCCGCACCATCACACTGACTCAGTCACACATGGTGCAGCACGTCCTTCAGCGATTCCGCTTCACCTGGTCCTCGGCACAGGCCACTCCTCTGGCTACAGGTCACTCGCTCTCAGCTCCACCTTCGGACGAGTCCGTAGAGCCGAGTCCTTACCCAGAGCTAGTGGGCTGCCTCATGTACCTGATGACCTGCACTCGTCCTGACCTTGCGTACCCTCTTGGCCTTCTGGCTCGCTACGTGGCTCCTAGTCGGCCCAGAAAGGTGCACATGGATGCTGCTAAGAGGGTACTGCGCTACTTGTGCAGTACATCGGGCATGGGGCTCGTGCTTGGAGGACGGGGCGACGTTGTCCTCACTGGGCACTCGGACGCTTCTTGGGTTGACGACCAGGCTACGCAGCGGTCGTCACAGGGTTACACCTTCAGCCTTGGCTCTTGCTCTGTTTCTTGGCGGTCTACACGCTCATCCTCTGTTCTCGGCTCCAGTTGTGAGGCTGAGATCTACGCCACAGCCATGGCTGCACAGGAATCACGCTGGCTCACCTACCTGCTGACCGACTTGGGAGAGAGGCCTCGTTCTCCTCCAGTGCTGTACGTCGACAACAAGGCCGCCATTGCCTTGTGTCAGGAGCACAGACTGGAGTACAGAACGAAGCACATCGCTCTGCGTTACTTCCTGGCTCGAGAGTTTCAGCAGCGTGGTGAGCTTCGTCTTGCTCACGTGGCCACTCGGGCCAACACTGCTAATATATTCACCAAGGCGCTTCCGTCTGGTGATCATCAGCGTTTCTGCACTCCGTTAGGCCTTGTGCCCACGTTTCCTCACTTGCTGTAGACTTTGCTTGTACTGTGATTTATATCTATGCCTGCATGCTTGCTCTGCTAGGTAGAGATCACTATGCTGTGGTTATTGCATATATAACTCTGCATGTGAACTGGCCTTGTGGCCCTTTGCTTGTGCTCAGTGTGTGTGGTGACGTTGTGATCCACCCTGAGCTTGCTTTGCTTCTCTTGACTGGTCTTGTGACCCCTTGCTCTCCCCCACTTTGCCTATGGGGGTGTGTCAAAGTATATGCATGTTATATATGTGTAGACTGTAGTGGGGTAGCCAACATGGGGTACAGCCCCTTTTAGGGTTTCATACTTGTACCCAACTCTTTCATAGTTGATTCATTCCTGACTCTAGATTCTAACATGACCGGCTCCTCCGATTGTGCAGGTGCATTTGCAGGTGCGTGTGGTGGCGCCGGAGTATTCACCGTGGGTTGCTGATGCGTGGAGTCACGTTCCGCCGTGAGCGTCCCAATTTCGAGCGCCGATTCTTCGACTTGGCGCACGAGACGGTCGAGTTGCTCGTGCGTCAGTGTCGCGAGAGTGAATTCGGCCATGGCGGGGGTGTCGGGCAAGCTCAGCGAGGGCCTCTGTCGTGGCCGTGCGTGCTTACGAGAGAGCACTACGAGCGGCGGTGCTGTGTCGCTGAGAGACATCTACCCCCTCCAAAAATTGAGATAGTGGGGAAGCGAAGGTGTGGGTGCGGTCCGAGAAGAGATCGTAGGCTCCAAATACCAAGTGTTACGAGTGCAATTGAGTGATCGAACGAGAATTGCACTATCGAAGCAACAATGAGCGAAGGCATGAGCGAATAATATATAGCGAAACTACAGTGGTAACGGTAATGCGTGAAAATGGGGTGCGCGACGGGCCTGGCGCCGAGGTTGGGAGATGCCGAGGCGGAGGTCCGGAGCGCGGGTTACCAACCGAACCGTGAGGTTGGGTCGCGTCGTGAACAGTGGCGGGAACAGTGTCGAGGCGAATGTCGCGAGTGGTAACGGTTTACTGTTGGGTGCTGTTGGCGGGAACAGTGGTGTACGCGCTGAGCAGGGACGCGAAGTAAGGAAAATGATTTTTCCTTACAGTGCTCCACACATACGGTACCCCTGGTACACCCCTTTCAGAAAGACTCAAAGGTACACACATGTATTTTTACAGCAGCTGAGCCATCATCACATCATATGACACCACATGACATGAAATCACATAAAACGGCACGAAACCGCAAGACATGGCATGCCATCACATACTGCTCGCCCCACCAGCACATGTGAGGTACAGCACGACATGCTTCTCGACGACGCCTTGAGTGAGCCATAGGTGGTTCTTCTTGCTGCTCACCACATGACTTTTGAGTCAACCTTAGAATCACATGCTGCTCGTCCCACTAGCCGGTTTGAGGTACGGCACGACATGCTTCTCAATGACACCTCTAGTGAGCCACAGGTGGTTCCCAGGCACGGATATGAAGTCCACTCGCCCGGCCTCCACCAGCCACTTCATCCCAACCCAGTCCTCCTTGTACAGTTGAGTCTGTCCGGGGTCAGAAATGCACAATGCGAGAGGGGAAGGGCATGGCAATACAGGGTTAAATGGGAGGGCAACAGAAGAACAAGACAGGCAGCACCGTGGGTAAAGTAAGGACCATGGAAAAGGGAGAGGGACAGGTGGCAGAGGCAGGGATGGGGGCGGATGCTGGTGGGGGAAGTGAGGTCCGCAGGTGTGGTCTTCAGTAGGCAGGAAGTGCAATCTAGTCCAGTTATGTTGGCACAAGGAAGGAACAAGCAGTGAGTGCGCGTCATTGGGTGAGTGCTGGAATGGGAGCATACACGGAAGAGAGGAAGAGTTAAGAGAACCAGAGAACACAGGAGGGCCTCATAACTGCCAAGTAGTGCTAGAGTAGGTGCATTGTGAGTGCATTGTGAGGGCATGGTGAGCGCGGAAAAACATGCGGGCGGAGGAGATGGAGAGCGAGCCGCTCTTCGAGGCGCCTAAAAACGTGAGAGGTGGCTTAAAAAAAAAGGAACAAACTAGAGCGGGGGGAGGGGATGGAGAGCGAGCAGCAGACCTCATTGATGGGAAGAATTTTATTGAAGTCATTGGGGGCGAAGAAGCCAAAGTGGGCGGTCTCCGGTGGGTAGAGCACTGTGTCTCCTGTGAACTGACCGATGGGGGCAATGGCAAGGGTATGACAGACACAATGCAGACAGAGTGTGGTCTCGGTTGAGACGAACAAGCAGCACAATCAATTTGCTTGTTGTCACTGTTGTTCTCCTCAGTTGTTAGCTGACACTGTTCTCCAGTGCTCTTACCACATCAGAACCGTGCTGGAGAACAGTGTTGCCTAGCAGTGAACGTATGGGGGCAGGGGTAAGATGGATGTGTGAACCTAGCACTGCAAAGGAGGATGCACCCGTGAACACACCCCCATTAGAGTCCCACCGTGACCGAATCCCCACTGCCAAACAGCGCCACATGGCCCACGTCAATGCAAAGCACCCACCCACCATGTATGCAAAGTAAGCAAGCACCTTTGTAAGGGCCATGCATTACAGAGAGCGGCTTTTGAGGCGCATCAAAGCCACGCCCCACGTCGATGTAAACCACCCACCCACCACGAATGCAGAGCAAAGCAATCACCTTTATGAGTGCCACGCGCTGCAGAGAGCGCATGCGATCAGCATAGGTGGCGTTGCGGCAGGAGGCGAGCTCGTTGTTGACGTGCGGCAGGTACTTGCACCCCGCCAGGTAACCCGATATGTCCTGCTCGGGAAGGTTGGGGAAAAAAGGAGAAGGTGAGTGGGGTGACGCTGGTCGATCAGTTGACAAAAGAGAAAAAGGAGGCTGGCCCGTTGTTGATGTGCGACAGGTACTTTCACCCCGCCAGATACCCAGATATGCCCCGCATTGGTGGTAATGGGGGAGGAGGCGACGGGGGGGGGAGGAGGCGATGGGGGAGGGAGGAGGGGGTTACTTTAGCAACGACTGAGGTGAACTTTGGGTTGACTCAAAAGACATGTGCCAAGGTGCTTGCACCTCGCCAGATACCCCGATGTCTTGCATTGGTGGTGAGGAATGGACGGGCGAGGAGCGGAAGGAGAGGGGGGGAGGGGGGGTGGGTGATGGGAGAGATTGGTGATGGGTTGAGTATGCAGCTGTGTGGTGGCTTGCTGCAGTTCGATAGAGATTGACAGAACTGTAATCGATGAATGCAGAACGCCGAGTGCAGGATCCGGGATGCGGAATGGAGCAGCAACAATGGAACAAAGGACGACACTGTGCAAGAAATGGAAGGAGCACGCTTGCGCATCCCACAAAGCCTGCTGGCACGGCACGAACAAGCATTGGAGATATTGCAGGCAGGCAGGCAGCTGTGCGGAATGAACAAACACACGCACCGTGGGAATCTTGACATAGCCGGATGGCGCGACCAGATTCTGCAGTGTTGGTGAGAGGAGTAAAGTGGGAGGAGAGAAAGGAGGGGAATGAAGGTGAGGTGGTGCGGGAGGAGGAGGTGAGGGGAAACGTGACATGCTAGTAGGTGGAAGGAAAGAGTGCAGCAACGGAGGGTCGCTGGGAAAGGGGCAGAGAAAGTCCGAATAACGTTTTTGGAACAGGAGAAGGTGAGATGTGAGGGGCGTGCTTTCAAAGGGAAGCTCAGAATAAGGACTGGCATGCAATGGGATGGGTTGGGATGGGATGGGATGGGATGGGATGGGATGGGATGGGATGGGATGGGATGGGATGGGATGGGATGGGGTGGGATGGGATGAGATGGGATGGGATGAATGGAAATGGAATAGAGTGGGATAAGACAAGGTCTGATGGGATGGGTTGTAATGGGATGCCGTGGGTTGAGATGGCATCGGATGGGGTCTGATGGGATGGGATGGGATGGGATGGGATGGGATGGGATGGGATGGAGGGATTATGGGAGGGGAGGGCGCACCTGCACCATGTCAGAGTAGATACCAAACTCCAGAACGGAGTCTATAAGCTGACACACTAATTCTTGAGGCGCATTGAAATTGAGCCGGATTTTCAGGCGTCTCAATACGTGTGGGAGGGGAGGGGAGGACGCACCTGCACCATGTCAGAGTAGATACCAAACTCCAGCACGGAGTCTATAAGCTGACACACTGCATGCAGCTGGTGTGACCGCAGTGGGGCAGTATGGGGGCGCGGTATAGGGGGGGGGGGGGGGAGATGGGGGAAGGCAGAGTAGAGGGGTTGAATGGGGGCGAACAATGCGGACGGGAGCATGAGTAGAGTGAAAATCAGATGAGAGGTGTGCGGGAAAGGAGTGGGGTGACCAAGCGGGGGTGGGGTGAGAGGAGGGGTTGGGGTGAAGAGAATGGGAGAGGAAGAATCTAGGTACGAGAATGAGTGCTTGGCCATGGGGAGATGGAGACCAAGGAAACCCAGCAGCATGGCCGGACGTGACGGAGGAGGGTAAGGAGAGCAAAGGCGGGAATATCCCGTGAAGAGGAGGGAAAAAAAGGGGAAAATGGAAGTGGGAGCGAACCACAGAAGAGAGAAAGTAGAGAGAGGGGGAGGGCGCTCACGACACACTGAGGCGTGGAGGCAACTCCAGCCTGCGGCCCTCCAATGGATACCAGGGAGTGCACCTGGGGCCATGGGCAGGTAGTGTTAAGGCCATGGGGAGATGATGAGATCATGAAAAAAAAAAAAACGACACTGCCATTTTCCAGAACGTCTATTATATTTTGTGGACAAAGGACTAGAAAGGGAATAGGGTGGCTGCAGAATGGTAGTGCAATGGTTGTGAGAGTGGGGGTGGTTATTATGGTGGTGCTGGCAGGGGTGCTGGCAGTGGTGCTGGCAGTGGTGATGGTCAGGACCAGTCAGCAGGCTATGAGACTCATTTTGGAAATGAGGAAGGGAGGGGTGGATCGGATAGCGGGACTCCATGGCAGCAACGGCAGGAAGCTGTGAAATTGAGTGCTGCTGATCAGGTGAGTGACAGACGCTTGCTGATATGTTTTGGCAGGACAAAAACAGTGCAGAACAGAACAGAACAGAAATGCTGTATTGAACTGGACGACTACAGCTGGTGGTAAACATTGCCAAAGAGAAACTCACGGGTGGCAGGCCATCGCATGACTGGATGAGGGCCCGAGCAATCAGACCTCCCTGCATGGCAAAGAAAAGCAAAGTCGATGATGTCATGCGCGGCAGCAAGCAGGCAGGAAGTAAGGGAAAAACTGCATCCGTAAAACATGCTATGCTTGCTTTGATACAATAAAATAGCCCTCAAAAGAAAAACAAGAAAGAAGAATTAATGAGGGGCGCGAGGATCAAGCACATGACATGGGTGGGGGTAGAGCAAGTGAGCATAGGATACTGGAACAAGCAGGTCCTGAGTGACGGGAAGGCATGAATGAAGGGTGGGAGAGTCAGGAGATGGAGACGCGTGAGACAAGGTGGCATTCATCTTTGTGTTTGAGTGAAGGAAAGGCATTTAGTACATGTTTAGAGCGAAACAGGCACTTGCGTTAAACCAGAAACAGTCTTTTGTTGTTGTGTCTGTATTAAACCAGAAAACATGCATTAGCTGTTACTTTTCACCCAAGAACAGCCATTTCCTGTCGTGCCCGAAAAGCAACCATGAATTTGTCACTGCTGTGTGCTGGACTTGCCTGGGAGAGGCCGACGAGGTTGAAACCGCGTGCCAAGTGGGGCATGGCTCGCAACTGCCAGGACCAACAAGGGCAGACGCAAAGCAAGCATCTCCACCCATCCCACACGAGTGAGCGAACGCAACACTTGAGCAAGTGAGGCTGAGTCCCGTTGCAAAGGCAAGGAGGCAAGCAGGGAACTCGGAATTCACATTGCAGTGCATGTGGTGGTGCTGCTACTGGAGGTGCCATGCACAACGGCTGCAACAGCGGCTGCATGCAAGAGAAGAGAGCGTGCAGGGACGCAGGGGCGCTCCCTGGCGAGTTGCCTTGCCCTGCAAGGCACTGAGGGTGGCGATGCTTGCAACCAGGTGCAGGCATAGGCCCGTCGGGCTCTAGAACAATGTGATGAGGCGAGGGAATAAAAAGCATATCCAAAGTATGGGAATACTAGTCTGCTTGTCCAGGCAGGCATGCAAAGTAGAGCAGAACGAGCGAGCAAGGGCAGCGTTGGTGACATGACACGAGCAGTATTACTCACCTTGCTGCATGCCTGCTCAGTCTGCTTGTCCAGCCTCATCAGCCAACTGTCGCTCGCTCCTCGCCCCACCTCTCTGCACCGAAGTCCATGCGCGCGCGCGCGTGAGAGAGACAACGGGGAGTACGTGCAAGAAGTGAACTCGAGCCAGTACAAGTGGGTCAGGCAAGACAGCATAGCATAGCAAAATAACAGTCAGGAACAGGCACACAGAATAGCACAGAAGCGAGTCAGCTCCGATAACCTCTCAGTCACACAGGTGTGCGTTCACACCATCCCACACGACCTCAGCTCCACCACGACTTGAGCTCACATCGCCGTACATCCGTGGCCTTGCACATCGCTAGTGAGCCCACAGCTAGCACAGGGTTGAAAGACGCACTAAACTTGGCGCACTGGCGGACTGAGGCAATCAAGCGAGCACATGCAGAAACGGCTAGATTTTCAAGAATGTATTAGCACCCCAGGAAGGCTCGATAAGGCCCATGCCATGCAATGCCATGCCATACAGTGAGCTCTTGGCCATGCAGAGGCATGACTCGTCAGAAAATTCTAAGTTCCTTCACAATACTTCTTTATTTATAACAAAGAAACTCGCGGGACAGCTAGGGACGCTCGTATGCACCAGAATTGTTTACAGATGCTTCTAAATGGCACATTTTGAGAGGCGAGGGGTGAGAGGTGAGCGACGAGAGGAGCGCCGCGGCGAGAGGAGAACGGCACTCACACGCACGATCCGTTGGCGGACGACAGCGACGTTAGCAGTGACACGAAGTTACCCATGCCGCCGTTCGAGCACGCATCGCCGAGGCCTGCACAGAGATAGCGGATGGCGAGTGTGCGAATCACGTCCGTGGTTAAAAGTAGAAGCAGCAGCTTGGGAAAAAAATCTATATTCAGAATGTCGCGTTTTCAGAGCGAGACTTCACGAAAACGCGATGCGTGTGAGTCTTTTCTTCGTCTTCTTCTTTCGCTTTAACTTGTTTCGAACGAGAGGGAGAGGGGAGAAAACGAGCGCGCTTACCGTGGAGAACGACGAACGGAAGCGGTTCCTCGGCCTTGGTTCGGATACGTTCCGATTGGGCAGTACCGAAGCTGGGAAGAGCAACTAGTAGCACCGAAAACAGCAGAGCAGGGACAAACCACTCCGCGCAGCGCGTCGCGCGACCCATCGTTTTCTTATTGCTGCGCTCCTACTGCTTTTGTTCAAAGGTGATTGGTGTGAGTGGAGCAGTAGATTATTCTTGTTGACCGTAGCAACAAGAAATCATCCGTTCTAACTTCTAAGTTGCCTATCTCAACTCCCAAGTCCCTCAATTGCTCTTGCTTTTCATGAGAGAAAAAATCCCTGAGAATAGTTGGGCTCAAGTTCGGTTAGGATGGTTTCGAAATTGTTTCATTTGGGCGGATTTGGGTTGGATGAGTTTCACTGGACTCCGCTAATCAGCTTCTTGTTCTGCTGGTCGCGAACAAAACGGGAACGGAATGATAACGGGAGGGAGGGAGCTCAGCTCAATGCTCAGTGCTCGCCGTCAGACGTACCGACCTACGGACAATGGAACCTTGGGGTTGGCTGGGGGTGTTCTGACGAGCCGCAGCGCATGGACGATGTGACCATCCTTCATATAAGCTACATCAGACGCAAGATAAAATGCACATCCGTTTCGCCTTTTCACGAGATCACTATATCTCTCGCACGGCAAACCCTGCTCCACATCTTCAAAGCCGTGTATATATCCCTCAGAAATTAAAAAATGATTTGCATAATATTATATAACTCCTTCCGTCAAAATCACTAAGAGAGGAGGTTGATGGAAGACTCATTATTGGAGCTGAACAATGAAGGGTTTATATCATTTTCTAGATAGTATATCCTGCGAAGGACACGGTTTTAGCGAGAACGGAAAGTTCAGCCAGGAATCCATCCGCCAGGAAGAACCCCTTCAGGAAAGTAGATCCTCCCGTTTCTTTTGAGGTTACAGCAGCCTGAAGTATTCTAGCGCCACAGCCCAGTATTATAGCGCCACAGCCGAGTCATTCAAAACCAAAGGTACGGATAGTCGCAGTGTGGAGGTGCAATAATTTCATTAGGAACACCGACTCTCATCTCCCCCTCGTCCCTTCTCTCCAGTTCTCCGCCAATTTTCCGCCAGCCTGATCGCCTCGACTCACCCACCACTCGCTCTACCGTGCTTTCTCCTCACACCCCTCGCCGCGCCACGCCATCCCTTTCCCTTGCCGCCTGTCCCGCGCCCGCGTCCCGTCTACCCGTGCGTTCGCCCCGCGTGTCGTGTGCCTGTTTCTCGTGCTCGCGCCCGTCCCGCACCACCACGTCGCACCCCTATTTCGTACCTCTCTGCTTCCTGCTCCTCTTCTCCTTCCTCCGCTCCCCCGCTCCTCCTCTACTCTTCCGTTGCTTTCGCTTAACTGTTCCTCCTCTCCGCAGCTCATCCAATCCTGCCCCCCCACGCTCCCTCCCCCGCGCCCGTTCCTCTTCCCCACCACCCACCGACTCCTTTAACGCCTCGTTCCCGTCGTCCCCTTGCCGCGCAAGCTCCCCATCGCTTCCTGCCCACCGCGTCAACCACACACCTCTCTTCCTCCCTCCCTCTCCCTGTTTCCCTTACGTCCTTCCTTGTTTCCGACTGTCCAACACCCACTCCAAACCCTCATTCCGACCCCCGGCTCCTCTCCCGTCCCCTCGCGTTCCTCTCTCTGCCTCTTTTTCCTCACCGTACTTCCCGTCCCTGCACGCCTGGTTATCTTTCCTTTCCTGGCAGGAAACGAGCGGCTGGTAGCACCTCACCGCTCACCGCCGCGCGCCATGTGAGTTTCAGCTCCACTTGCCGCTCCCTGTTAACCCTTGTGCCCTCCTTAAGTTCTCGGTGTGAGAGGCATGCGATCGCCAATAATGGCCGTTCTTGAATTTCACCATGCTCCCCCACCACTCGTGATGGATCGCGATGAGCTGATTCACACTATTTCCCACAATCTCTGCTTGTTAATTCCTGATTGGTGTCTGCGTTCTTCACATCCCTCACCCCAACCCTCTCTTCGTCCTCCGCTCACTCTTTGTCCTCAACGCTTTATACCCCCTCTCTCTCACCTCTTTACCTCACCCCTCTTCCCCCCCTCCTCCTTTTGCATCGCTCTCCCTCACCCATCTTCCTCTTCTCTTCCCTCATTCTTGCACCCCCACTCCCCGCGGTCCTTCCCCCCCACACGGCTGGCCCGTAATGCTCATGTGTCGTCTATGACACCACTCATTACCCTCCTTCGTTTTCTTCTCCGTTCCTCTCCCCTACCGTATTCTTCATCCTCGCTGATTTCGTGGTTCTTATGCTATAGATGTCACTTCTTATGCAATTCTTCACCACCTTTTTCGCAAGACTATCCACACCTGGTCAACAGTAGCTCTATCTAAAAGCCGCTTCTCACGGTTCCAAGGCGGTTCAGGACTAATCACTCCTTGAACCCCTCCCTTCCCCAAAGCCAAGCTGATGCTGCGACAACAATGGTCTCATTGCTTTTGTTTTGAAGACAGAAGCTCCCACCTGTTTGACACTCAGAACCTCTCGTGTGTTTCCGCACAAATCCCCTCAGCCTCTCCAACCCCCCCTTTCCCTCATCCCACCCATCCCTACCCATCCCTACCCATCCCCACGCCGCTGTCCATCTCCCCTCCTCACTTTTTCTCATTTCCCTCCTCACCCTCAGCCACGCGGCAAAGCACGTCTTGACAATACCCCACCCAAGGGCGCCGTGCGACAGCGGCGCGGAAACACTTTGAAGAAATCTCAAACGTGAACGGGCACGGCCAGGGGGCGCAGCAGAAGGGCGGGAGCGAGCAAGTGCCCGAGAGAGCAACCGAGCAACCGAGCAAGCGAGAGAGCAAGAGAGAGAGCGAGCAGGCATGAAGCCGGGGTACTCGACGCATCCGTTCCTGCAGGACTCGGAGGAGGTGGGCGGGGCGGCCATGGATGTGGACATGGACGTGGCTGAGATGGGGCTGGACGCCGGTGACCCGCACCCCCTGGAGAAGCTCGCTGACTCGGACTTCTTCAACAAGTTTGAGGACGACTTTGAGGACGAGGACTTAGCTTAGGGGGGCGTTGTTGGGGGGGGGAGGGGGTGGGGTGGAGGGTATTGCAGTGAGAGTGCAAGGGAGAAGGGAGAAGCTCGCTGACTCGGACTTGTTCAACACGTTTGAGGATGACTTTGAGGATGAGGACCTGGCGTAGGGCGTTGTGGCAGGGTGGAGGGAAGGATAGAGGGAAGGGGGATAGTTTAGGTATGGCGTAGGCAGGCTAGTTTTCAAGTGTTCGGAATGCAATGGGTGGGACTTCATTACAGTATCAAGGGGCTTCTGCAGCGACGGCTTTACAGTCGATCGAGGACATGGATGGAGGGAGTGCGGAATGAGCATACAAGAGGGATGACCTGACCAGCTTCCAAAACATGTGGGCAAACATGTCTGATGCAATACTGTATTGGTACCGCACTTGTGGGCCAGTCTTGTACGGTACAGCCCAGTCTTGTCAGTGTGCCACCCACACATGCCGGTACCTATGTTCGGTAACGGTAATCACTGTTTGTCACTGGTATAGATGGAGAACGAGCGACATGGATAATTGAAGGCTGCTAAGGAGACATGAGAAAATTATATTGTTGCCACAACATTTCATAATATCCACCCCAACCCCACTGTACACAGAAAAACCTGGGAGACAAGCACTGCTCTGCACTCCTACTCATCCAGGCCAACAGGGAATAGATGAGGTTGTGAAACAGGGGATGGCATGGCAATGGCCGTGGGAAACAGGGTATAGAATAGATAGTGATAAATTGGACAGCTACAGTACATGTTCTGATAAGTATTGCTATACCATAGTAACCTAGCCCACTTGCAGAACCACGTGCTAGTGTTCCGCCAAGACGGTAAGGACCAATCAGTTCAGCAGCATGCTGATCTTGTGCAAACCAACTACCGTACAAAGAAAGGCTGCAACATAATAGATTCCAAAAAGTTTCAGTGACGCCGCTCATGCACAAGAGAACAAAGCATCCCCTACAGCTGGGAATAGTGTCCAGGCAGGTCCCAGAAAAAGAAAAAGACAGCCCGATTCAAGTAGAGAGTCCTGCCAGCCTGCCAGCCTGCCAGCCTGCCAGTCTGCCAGTCTGCCAGTCTGCCAGCCTGCCAGCCTGCCAGCCTGCCAGCCTGCCAGTCTGCCAGTCTGCCAGTCTGCCAGTCTGCCAGGTCCCTCCTTCTCAACCCCTCCACCTCCCGTGCTCGTCTCTAGGTCAGGCTGCCAAGCCGAGTCGACTTGTGAGCCAGCTCGAACGAATCCTCCCTAAACCTCCACTGCAATAACCGACTTCACTCTGTGGCCCGCACTGTCGCTCCAAGTCAGGCTGCCAAACCTCCACCCACTCCCCGCTGCTGCCGCTCCCGCACGCGGGGTCAGTTTCACCGAGAATCTCACAGCATTGGCAGCACCTGTTTCAATGGTGAAGCTTGCAGGAGTGACCTCTACATCCACACCAGCCGGCTCCACCACACTTGCTTTATACGTTGCAGTGGCGCCCAGATTGGTAACCACGCGCGTTACCGTAACCGCGCCTTGCAAATTCGACACGGCAATCGCCGCCCGGTTGAGATCCCGGGCGGCGAGCGGCGACACCTCCTGCCCATCCTGGAGAATCTTCCCAGCAAGCGCCGCATCCTGCCCAGTGAGAAACCGCAGAAAATGCGGCACCTCGGCGCTGAAAACCAGGCCAGGACCCGGGTTGAACATCTCGTCAACATCTAGGTGCCCTGCACCCATATCCATAGGCGTGGGAGCAGCTGCCTTCACCGGGTCCTGTCTCACCATGCTCGCATTGGCAGTCGTGGTCAGCACCGACATGACCTGCACGGGGGTGAGCGACGGGTTCCGCTGCATGAGCAGCGCAGCCACCCCCGCCACGTGTGCTGCTGCCACAGACGTCCCGGACCCGATCTTGAACTCTGTGGTGTCTGAGAGGGTAGTGCCTCGGGATGCGGCCCAGATGAAGGCGCCTGGAGCGACGAGGTCGGGCTTGAATACGTCTGTGGTGGCGCCTTGAGAGAGAGGGCCTGTGGAGGAGGTTGCGTACATGACTGGCGCTGGCAGGTCGCTGGCTGTTGTGAATGCTGACGAGAGGGACGCATGCGGACTGCACGGGAGAAGGAGAAGGGGACGGGGAATGGGTGGTGGGGCGGGTGCGGATGCAGGGTGGAAGAAGGGGAAGGGCGCAGGAGAGTGGGGAATGGAGAGGTGAGAGGTTAAGGGTGGACTAACAGAGAGGTGTTGGCAGATAGCAGGACGGATTTTGGCAAAGCAGGCGCACAAGCACAAGCTCAATCCCCGAGCCAAACCCTGAGCCGGAACCAAAGCCCGAGCCCGAACCTCAGCCCGAGCCTGAGTGTGGCGGCAGCACAGCACAGCACAGCACAGCACGTACTTGGGCGTTTGGAGGAAGGCGAGGAGGGAATCGGAGTCTCCCACGCTGACGCCCACCACGGGCAGGTCGCGAGCGTACGGCTGGTTGGTGCGCGGCGAGCTGTGCAGCACCACGCCCACCGCACCCTTCGCCTTGGCCTCGGTCACCTTTGCGGTCAGTGGAACGTCTCCCCCCGCCACGCACACCACCAGCTTGCCGGTCACCAGTGCTGGGTCTAGCGTGCCTGGTGCACACCCGTCCGCCTGCCGAGGGGATGTGTGGAGGAAGGGAGGGAGGGAGGGAGGGAGGGAGGGAGGGAGGGAGGGAGGGAGGGAGGGAGGGAGGGAGGGAGGGAGGGAGGGAGGGAGGGAGGGAGGGAGGACCTTTGAGGCGCCTCAAAAGCCACCAGCTTGCCGGTTAGCAGTGCTGGGTCTAACGTCCCTGGTGCACTGCACACCCGTCCGCCTTGCAAGATGGGGGGAAGAGGGGAAGAGGTTGGGTTTGAGTCGACTCAAAGCTTGCCGTTCACCAGTGCTGGGTCTAACGTCCCTGGTGCACACCCGTCCGCCTGGCAAGAGGGGAAAGAGGGGAAGGGAGGGGGTTTGCGTCAACTCAAAGCTTGCCAGTTAGCAGTGTTGGGTCTAACGTCCCTGGTGCACTGCACACCCGTCCGCCTGCCGAGGGGGGGGATGAGGAGGGAGGGAGAGAGGGAGGGGTTGGGGTGCACGCGGTGAGGCGGATGGCATAGAGTGGGGTTGCTTACGTTGGGGCAAGCAGGGTGCTGCCTTCCTTGGCATGTGGCAGGGTCTAGAATCTCACAGGGCTCACCTCGACAGCACTCGCTCACACCTGGCCTGGCAGCACTCCCTCCCTTGCCCACCTTGGCAGGGCTGCACTCACCTCGACAGCGGCAGCGTCAGCGGAAGCGAGCTTGGCGTGGGGCGAGTGGATGATGGGCACGTTGGTGATTGCAGTGGCTGTTGGTTGCATTGGGGACAGCAGCGTGCTTCCTTGGAATCTCGCAGGGCTCTCCTTAACAACACGCACTCACCTCGGCAGCGACTTTTGAGTCGACGCAAGAGTCAGGGCTCTCCTTGACAGCACGCACTCACCTGGGCAGCGGCAGCGGAAGCGAGCTTGGCGTCGGGCGAGTGGATGATGGGCACGTTGGTGATTGCGCTGCTGCCCGCTCCCAGCCCGTTCACGTCCAGTTCTGTGCCGTTGGACAGCATCAGCTTCGCTGAGAACCGCCGGTTGATGGTGCTGCGGGGGGAGAAGAGAAGGCAAGGGTTTGGTGGGCGAGAGGGGGAAGCGCCTTGTGAGTCGTCTCAAGAGTCGACCCCAGCCCGTTAACGTCCAGCTCTGTGCCGTTGGACAGCATCAGCTTTGCTGAGAACCGCCGGTTGATGGTGCTGCGGAGAAGGCAAGGGGTGAGGGAGGGGAGGGGGAGAGGAGGATGGGAGACGCAAGGAGTGAGGCGAGGAGGCGAATGGATTGCGCGTGCATGGCTGATGTGTTGACCAGGGTATCGCCTCCACATAGTACAGAAGCAGACAAAGCAGAGTCACAAGGGCTTTTTACGAATCTCCCCCCTTACCCCTGTTCCTCCCATTCCTCCCCCTCTTCCCCTCCCCCTCTCAAGTTCCCCATCCTTCCCCCTTCCCCCGTTCCTCCCCTTCCTCCCACACGCACCTCGCCCCGACCGTCAAGTAAAACGGCGAGAAGTTCACAACAGTCCGCGCCGTCTCACTGCCCTTCCCGCCATTCCCAGCCGCGGCCACCACCAGCGTTCCCGCCATGCTTGCATACAGCACCGGCAGATCATCAAAGTAGCTCTGCCCACCGTCCACCGCGCCCAGAGCAAGCAAGATCACATCGCAGCCGTCCGCTACAGCTTGATCCATGGCCTGCTCGATGTCCGCGGTGGTGGCTACGAGGCCTTGGGATTCGCTGCTGCGCCAGAAGACCTTGTATGCTGCGATGCGTGCCCGTGGTGCTGTGCCGCTGCCCGCGCCGACAGTCTGGCCGCGCGCAACTGTCATGGGCGTGTCGCGATTGCCCGCTGCCGCACTGGCAGAGGGGGGAGGACGGAGGGAGGGCGGGGGCGGAAGGGGGGCGGGGGGAGTGGAGGAGAGGGGAGGATCAGAGGGAGGGCCGGTGTGTATGGGGGGGGGGGGGGGAGCGGAGGGGGAAGAGATATTTGAGAGAGAACGAGGGTGGAGACTGAGATGTGCGGAAGGAGTGGGAAGAGTACAGGAGCAGCCGCGGTAGCAAGGGTGGGGATTGGAAGGGATTGCATGACGTGCAAAGAGGCAGTGCTCGCATCGCAATGAATAACAGCAAGCAGTGCTGAGCAGCTGCAAGCAGCGGGCAAGGAGTAAACATCGAGCAGCAGCAAGCAAACGAACGAGCCGGCAAGGACTCACGCGGCGACCCAGGAGCCATGGCCGTCAGCATCACGAGGCGAGCGCCAATCGGAAGAAGTATCAATCTCGCCGAACTCGCTCTCAAACGCCGTGGGGAAGAAGCTCGCCTGCACGAGCTTGCGCGAGCACCCCTTGAAGTCCGCCGTGCGCGCACAGTCCGTGGACAGCGCGTGCCAGCTCCGCGGGAACCCGCTGTAGCCCTCCTGCACAAGGGGGGGAGGGGGGGGGGGGGGGGGAGATGGGGGAGAGAGAGCAGCAGGGAGGGCGAGGGGGACGGGGGACGGAGAGCCGAGCATTTAGCGGCTGGTGCATGTGCGCGTTGAGTTGAATGGGATCAAGGCTAGTGGGGCGGGAGATGAATACCAAGCATTCCGCATGTGCAAGAGGGTGCGAGGCAAAGAGGGGAGCGAGGTCGGGAGCGGGCGGGGAGCGGGAAGGGGAGCAGGGAAGGGAACGGAGAAAAAACGGGAGAGGACACGATAAAAGAAAGCGTAAGAATTACCTCATTCCCATCCCCCTCCCGCTGCCCCTCCCGCGCCCCCACCCGCACCCTTTCCCCCTTTTCCCGTTCCAACAACACCGCACCTCTCCTCACCCACCCCCCGTTTCCCCATACCTCGCTAAAGGAGGGGTTTTCCGGCCAGATACCCGTGTCCACGACGCCAATCACGGCGTCCTCGCCCGTATAACTCGCGCTCCAGAAGGTCTTGGGGAGATTAAGTAGCGCGGGCGTCTCGCTCGTCTGCTTCTGCACCGCGCGGCTCCGCAGCACCTGCAGCACGCGCACGTCGCTGCGCAGACTCTCCGCCTGCGCCGCCGTCAGCACCGCCGCGAACCCGTTGGAGATGTAAAAGTACCGATATAAGATGTCCCGTGTGATGTTAGTGAGTCCCGCCTGTCGCGCAACTTTATTCTGCTCGTCCTGTAACGTGTCTACTAGCGATTGGATTAACGCGCTCGACCGGTCGAACCACGGCCGCCCGTTGCGCGTCTCCGCGCCCCAATCCGCCGCCGCCAGCTTCCGCCTGTTTCTCCGCGCGCCCTCCCGCGCAACGTCTCCCCCATCCCGCGCCATCCGCGCGGAAACACTCTCCTCCACCGATCTGGCTTCCGTCAGCAGCCTCCGCGCGGCCCCCCCGGTCCCGACACCCCCGTTGCTGCTACCACTCCCGGCACTCGCGGCACTACTGCCCGAGTCGCTACCGCCGCCAACGGGCGAGCCGCCGCCGGCGGACGCGGAGTTGATGGAGGCGGAGAAGAGCGCGGCGGACGTGGTCGAGACGGAGTCGGGGCTGAGCGCGCCGGAGAACTTAACGCTCGCCGCCGTCGACGGCGCGCTCACCTGCACCGCCACGGGCGCGCGGCGCAGGCGCACGATGTACACGTCGCCGCGCGTGATGGCACGCGCGCGGGAAGGTCGGTGGCCTGGAAGGGGAGTGGGCGGAACGTGGGGAGGGGGGATGAGTGGAGTGCGGAGGCGAAATGAACGGAAGTCACCGCCGGCGCAGGCGCACGATGTACACGTCGCTGCGCGTGACGGCGCTCGCGCGGGTCGGTCGGCCTGGAATGGGCGGCGTGAAGGGGAATGGGCGGAAAGGCGACATTTGAGTCGACTCGGAAGTCACCGCCGGCGCAGGCGCACGGCGTACACGTCGCCGCGCGTAGCCGCGCGTGATGGTGCGCTCGCGGGTAGGGTTGCCTGGAAGGGGATTCGGCGGAAAGACGGGAGGGAGAAGTGGAGCGCGGAGGCGAAATGAGCGGTAAGCCTAATGAGCGGAAAAGTAATGTGGGAGAACCGAAGGCAGAACGAGCGGAGGCCGGCAGCGCCTCGACGGTTCGCGCCGTCTGGACTTGCGGAGGGCGGGAAACAGACGGGGAAGGGACGGGGGAGTGGGACGGGAGAAAGCGGAGGCAACGAGGGGCGGAGCGCGGAGACGATTTGCGCGCAGAGAAAGCTTATAAGGAATAACCGCCATCCACAGGTGGAAGCGAGCAGCCGCTCAAGGCGGCGCTTTCGGAGGAGAGGACTATTAACGGCCTCATCAACGCACGCTGCGGCTAACCCCGAGTGAACGGCCCTTATCCGTTTCCATGCCGATGGTGAGGCGGAAGTGCGGACATTCGAGCGCGACGAGTTGACGTAATACGCGATGAGCTGCGGAACAGCCGCGCCGCGACCATGATGACGAGCTTTTGAGACGACTTAAAAGTCATGATATTGGGCGGTGGAGAGGTGCGAAGCAAGCCACGCACGTCGCACGCACACAGGTGGACGCGCCAGGGGTAGAGCGGCAGACAGCAGCAGCCCACCGAGAACAAACCGCGGCGCACCTGGTGCGAGCCAGTTGGCGGCAGATGTATGTTCGACGGGCAGCGGAAGCAGCAGCGCGAACAGGGTTAGCCATCTCGCCTTGGCCGTGATCCTCGCTCGCGCGTGCGAGCTTGCGAGTAGTACCATGCTACCGGCGGGCCTAGATTCGGCCAGATTTTGATGCGAGCAGAGCTAGACTGGGCTAGATTGGTACGCCGGCAGAGCTAGATTCCTTTGCCGTGCTCCTGAGCGGCGGAACTACGAAGTGAATGTGGTGAGGGTTCAGGCTGGGACGGGTGAGTAAAGAAAAGCGTTTTTATTAGGGGCGACGAGAATAGAGTAGAGCGAAACGAGAGTGAAGCGCAGCGCGCGCGAAAGTTCAACGAGCAGGCTAACTAAGCGGGACACACTTGATGGAACCGTGGTCGTCTACCGCAGTAAGGTGGTCAAATGTGGCAAGTGAAAGGCAAAGGTGAGGAGCAGCAGTTTCGCGAGTGTGACATGAAATTATTGGAGATTCGGCGGAGAAGCGCAAAGAAGCGGGTGAGGCGAGTGAGAGAGAGGGCCACGCAGTAGGAAGGTGAGGTGATGAGGTGAGTGGGAACCCAGCACACACAGAGGTAAGGGGAAACGAGAGTCGAACTGGAGGCAGCAGCCCGTGGCTGTAGCGACGTACGCACCGTGTCGCAAAGCGCGTTCCCCTCCCCATGCATGCCTTTGCCATGGCCCATGGCCCTTCCTTTTCCTCCCTCCCGCCAGCCCATACCGTACAATCGGGAAGGGGGAGCGGCGAAACACTGGACGGTGGTGGGCTTGTCATGGGCAGCTCAGGCTGCCCGTAAAACACACTCTGACGACGAGGATGGTTACCTGAGTGACGACTCCGACGAGCACCTGGAACCAGCTTCGCTCGGCAGCATTATCGCTTTGAAAAGATTCTCACTGACCTTGCTGGTGCCGTTTAACAGGAAGCCTGAAGTCAAGCGGACTGCTGTAACTGTGGCTGCCTTGCTGGAAGAATGGAAGGATCAGCTGTCGCCAGATGCGTTGCAGACAACAACTTACCAGGAACTTACAGCGACCTATTTCTCTGGCACACGCTATGGTCGTCTTCAAGTTACCTTCAACCGCGTCCGCGATGCAAATTTCGTTTGGAGTCAAGTCATCAGACACGAGTGCGTGAATGGCGACATTGTCGACTTTACCTGGCACCACCCTGAAGATGCGCGTTTCCTTCGTGAGCGCCTGCTGAACCCGACGGCGAAGGAGGTTGTTGTCAAAGGAGTTCCTGCGGACATTACTGCTGAGCTGATTCGTCACCTGCTGGTGGTGTCGAAGCTGGTTAAGCGCGGTCGGAGTGCTTTCGCCAGCGGTTTCGGCTTTCATCGTACCGTCGATCCGGTGACTGGGCTGGACACCGACCGTATCCGCGGTCTGTTTGTCCCCCACGCTGACGATGAGTACCGCTGGAGGTACTTTGTGGAGGACCCGTCGACTGGCAGGCGCTACATGCTGCACTACCCATCGCTTACCTGCGAGCTCTGCAGCGGCCAGCACCTGTCCCGCTACCACGATCATTATGTTACCTCGAGGCAGGAGAACTTCACCAACTGGAACCTGTCGGTCAAAAAGGTTCATGACATGAACGGTATAAGCAGAAAGATCCCCCACCCTCAGCTGTCTAATTCGTTACCTTCGTTGTCCACCCCGCTCCTATCATGCCTCTTGTACTGACGACTGTCTCTTCACCTCCTCCCGCAGCGGCTTCCCTGAAAGCCACAGCGTCTCTGACGCGCATCTTGAAAGACCCCGCAGTCATACTCACCTCTACAGGAGGTGTGCGGGAGGAGTGGGTATGCGTACAGACTGTATGCGAGAAGGCTCAAGGGAACCGGTTCGAGCAGGCGGCGGCTCATGTCGCTTCTGCCAGGCACAAGGGAGGGCTGAAAAAGGAAGGTGCTGCAACGCGTGTCAGCAAACATTCTCAGAAGATGGCTGCTTTCAAAAAGGAGTTCATGGCCACACCGGCAAAGAAGTGATCAGCGGCTTAGCGGATGAGACGACACTGTGGATTTTTGGTGCAAGCTGTGTAGTAGGTGCCATGTTTGCCTTCGCTGTAGCTGGTTGCATCGTCGCAATAAAGACCAATCGCCCGTGGATGCTGTGGGGCTCAAGGAAAGTGGTTAATGGATAAACGCAACAGCTTAACTTTTCTCGAGCTCAACATCAACGGGCTCGGTAGCAGTGGGAAACAGGAGAGATGCGGAAAATGGATCAGGAAGGCAGCACATATTGTTGTACTCACTGACACACGAGTCTCACAGGATCATAACTTCTGGACACAAGTCAGGTCGGAAGCTCAAGCGGTGGTTGGCCCGTCACAGAGAGCTGGGGGGGTGGCGGTCTTGGGCTTCCTGCCAGGCATGCGGTTCACAGACGTGGTTAGGCAGGAATCCGGCCGTCTCATAAGCTTGATGATTGCATGGAGAGATCTGACCTGCAGAGTGGTGGCTGTATACCTACCTGCGCAAGCACCTGCCAGGGGGGTCTTCTTTCGTGATGTACTAACACCCTTCGTGCAGAGCCTAGGTGCCTCTCCATATACCATACTTCTTGGTGATCTGAACATCGTTGCGGACCCGGAGCTGGACAAGTCCTCAAAACTGGGAACGCCGGCGGAGAATCAAAGACTCCTGCAGATTTGCTCGAGGTGGGATCTGCAAGACGCTTTTCGGAGCCTCCACCCGACCAGGAAAGAGTTCACGTTCTTCTCGAGATCTGCAAAAACGAGTACACGGATAGACAGGGCTTTAGTTTCACACTCTCTTCTCAACTGCGTAACGGAGGCGAAGCATAAAATGGTTCCATACGGTTTAACAGATCACTGGTTCGCGGTGTCGGTGTCGCTCAAGGCTGCATCGGCGGACGACCATGGCCCAGGGTTGTGGAGGCTTCAGGCACCTCAGGCTGGGGGTGAAGGAGTCAGGAACATTATATCGGCGGTACTGGACTCACAGGCGAAGTGTCCGGACAACGGCCTGGAGAGACTGGTGACGAATCTGCGTGCAAGCATGAGAGCTCATGTAGCAGAGGAGAGAAAGAGAGTTAAGGCGACCATGGTGCACTTGGAGCTGAAGGTGGAAGAGCTTCGATGGAAGGTGATGTCGGACCCTTCGTCGCAGGCTTTGTACGAGGAGCTGATAAAGAATGAAATGGCTCTCAAGCTTTACCAGGACAGCAACAAGGAGAGGCTGCAAGTTCTGACGGGGATGCTGCAGGAGCTGGTGGGGGAGACTCCGTCAGGGTTTCTGTCAGGCTTGGTCAAGTCCAGAAAGGCGAAAACTGAAATAGCGGAACTTACCTTCAAAGGGCTGTTGAGAAAAGGAGCAAGCGAGGTGCTGCAAGCTGCCTCGGAGCATTTCCGAGAAGCCTACACGCTGTCGCCGGCGCCCTCCCCTGCGGAGCCATGGCCGATCGAGGAGGGAAAGACGCTGCAGGAGAGCGATCGCATGCAGCTGGACAGCGAATGGTCAGAGCAGGAAGTAAAAGCGGCGCTAAAAGGCTTACCGGCGGGGAAGGCCCCGGGGCAGGACGGCCTGCCAAAAGAACTCTTCGAAAGAAACTGGGAGCTGCTGGGCCCGGCAGTGATGAGAGAGGTCAAGAGCTTCGAGTCAGCAGGGGTGCTTTCGGAGTCTTTCACAACGGCGGTCACGATCCTCCTGCACAAAAAAGGAGACAGGGACGTCTTGGGAAATTACCGACCGATCACTCTACTGAGCTTCCTCTACAAATTGCTGGCGAAGGTGTTGGCGAACAGAATCAAGGTGGTCTTACCGCGTGTGATCTCAGCCAACCAGTTCGGCTTTCTTCCGGGGAGGAGTCTCGCTGACGCTGTCTCTCTGGTAGCAGATGCGATTGATGCTGCGGAGCAGGAGGATGAGGTTTGGCTGCTGCTGCTGGTTGATTTTCAGAAAGCTTACGATTCGGTATCACGTGAATACCTCTTCGCGACATTGGGCAACATGGGTTTCCCGGAGAAGTTCACGAGATGGGTAAAGGGTCTCCACGATGGAGCGGCAACCAGGGTACTGTTGAACGGTTGGATTGGGGAGCGAGTAGAGATGGCCAAAGGGGTGCGCCAGGGCTGCCCGCTCGCCCCGTATCTCTTCCTCTGCGCGGTTGAGCCTCTCTGCCAAGAAATTCAACGGAGGAAACTGGGGGTCAGGAAGAGAGGGGTGAAAGGGAGCTTAGACTACATTGGATATGCAGACGACACGACGCTGGTCTTGAAGGGCAAAGAGCAGGTGGCGGTTGCTGAGAAACTGCTGGGGGAGTTCGCGGCAATCTCAGGACTGAAGGTGAACCGGGATAAGACAACATTGATGCCGCTCGGGAAAAATCGAAGGAGGCTGCAGCCGATAGCGTCGTCTTTCAAGTGGGCGGCGAAGAACACATCTGAAAGGCTGCTCGGAATCTGGATCACCTCTGGAGGCTCGCCGGGACCTGCATGGGACAAGGCTTTCGAGAAGGTTAGCGCGGTGCTGAGTTGCTGGGAGAATAAGCATCTCAAAACCTCGGCACGGGTGACCATCATAAACAGCTACGCGATGCCGATTTTGCTCTTCCAGGCGCAGATCTACGCCCCACCGTACGAGGTCTGGACCAAAGTGAAGAGGCTCTGTCATAATTTCATCTCCGGTGGGAAAGCGCTCCTTGATCGACACTTCACGCTATGGAGCTATGAACTGTCGTGCAGAGGACGGAAGGAGGGGGGCTTGGGGGTGATTGATCTGAAACACCGGATTGACATCATGGTGATCCAAGGACTGGGAAAGGCCCTGGTGGAACAGGAGCCACTTCGAAACTGGTTATGGGAGAGGGCGGCGGCTTTCCCCCTTGGCCTGGCCACGGTTTACGCGCACCCTTCGGTCCTGAAGTCCTGGCTGGGAGGGGGCACGAGATGGAAGGCCACTATTAAGGCACTGTGGGACTCAAAACTTGTGGACATAGGCGATCCGGCTCACAGATGGGACGCAGAGGAGGAGCAGTTACTTTTCAACCGCAGTATTTTCTTCAGAGGCAGATCACCCTTCGGCAACCAGGCGGGCTCGCTCTGTCTGAAGGGCATCCGACTGGGGGATTTGGTG